ACAGCCACTCAACTAAGTGGAAATAATATGATGTAAAGAATACAGAGAATAATTTTGTTTACATATTTATGAAAATAAAATAACATAAATTATAAAATAACATAAAATACATAAAAGTAAATTTACTTTTCTGAGAATGTTTAGGCCAGCAGAGAAGGCCTTGCTGGCCCTCAGGGTCCGCCACTGTCCAGTGGTAAAAAGGAAAAGTGGTATCGAAAATGAATAGATTGTATTTGAGCAGAAAATGGAGAAAATAAATAAATAACAATAAGGTTGCACTTGCAAAAAACGATCAGAATGAACTACAGTAATCCCTCGTTTATCGCCGGGGTTACGTTCCAAAAGGAACCCGTGATAAGTGAAATTTGTGAAGTAGGATTTATAAAAAAAAAAAAAAGTAAAAAAAAATGTCAGAGGGAAGAAATTTCAAATGTGCTGTATGTTTCACATACAGCACATTTGACAATAAAGTTGTACTTGGTACTTGATAGTCAGCTTTATTTTTTTACAGTTATTATACAACACTGAACTATGTACAGTATACAATGCAGAGGCGATTACTCTAAGACTGCAAGCAAAGCTCAGCTTCCTCTAAAAAGTCAAAAAGTGATCAAAAATATGTGCGTACGTACAATTGTGTGGACATGTCATTGACTAAATATGCGCTACAACGCGCTCAACTTTTGTTCCGAATCAGGTTCTGATTACTGGTTATGGTGCGACACTCTTCTCATTCATTCCCGCAGCTTCACTGTGCTTGAAACTGTATGGACGCTGAGCGTCGACCGCGCGGACGCTGGGCGTCGACAGAGTTCAGTGTAGGTTGTCCCAATGCATTGAAACGAGACGAGTCATTGGATAAATGCTGGTTTTGTTCCGCCCACCGGACGCTCAACGTCTCTGGAAGTCTATGGACAGTGGGCGTTTATAGGCTGGCCAGGAAGCTCAGCTTTTCTGCATGATGATTGGATGATCTGTCTGAGGGTGAATCTCTTTTTGATTGACAGCGAAATAAGCCAATCACCAATCTGATGGTGAAGGCATCCTTTTCTTTTTTTTCAAAAGGAACAGAGAGTAGAATTCACGTATAAATAAACAGGCACATTTTATGATGTAAGCCGAAATTGAGCTTCCCCTCCTTGACAGACCAGCATCCGCCACTGATTCAATGAAACCAAAGACCAAAACTTTGCAAAGGTAAATTTGGCAAGCCGTACAGAGACGAGGTACGGAGACTGTACACGTTGGTCAGTCCCTTAGCCAATCAGGATGCAGAACACAATAAACTGTTTTAAAAAAAGCATTAAAAGAACTGCACTAAAAAAAAATCAGTGAAACAGCAAAGCCGCAGAAGGTGAACCGCGTTATAGCGAGGGACTACTGTACACCAATGCAGTAGTCTCTAGAATTCTTCTTAGTGCCTGTCTCGCCAACTAATGTAGAAAGTTAGTAGTGCAATGCAGGCAGTCAAATGATGTTTCCTGTGTCAAATTGTAATCTTAGACCTCTGTATGCTGAAAATTGTCCCCAAGCGGTCCCTTGGACAGCCCGGCTTTTTCATTGTCCTTTGCGCTTTCTATAATTGAAGGGGAAAAAAATATGGAATTTGCAATTTGGATTTTTATGATAAAACAAATCCTGGCTCCGGCCTTCCTGTGTGGAGTTGGTTCTCCCCGGGCCTGGATGGGTTTTCTCCGGGTACTCTGGGTTCCTCCCACATTTCCAAAACATGAATGGCAGGCTGATTGAACACTAAATTGCCACTAGGTGTGAGTGCGAGCGTGGATGGTTGTTCGTCTCTGTGTGCCCTGCGATTGGCTGGCAACCAGTTCATGGTGTCCCCCGCCTACTGCCCGAAAAGGCTCCAGCACCGCCCCCCCCCCCCCATGTTAGGATAAAACGGATCAGAAGATGGATGGATGGATGGATGATAAAACAAAAAACACTCTAATCGGGGTTGTTTGTCGTCAATATGCCTTCAGGAGATCCATCATTAGTCATTTATTTTGTGCTTCATAGAGTTAATTGGTTTCTGGAGCACAGTTTTGTGTTTTGCATTCATGATTACGTGTTAGAGGGATTTTCAGTTAGCATCGTACCTGCGCTGCTGTTCAATGTTCTCCTCACTAACCTAAATCACTTGCAGAGATCCTGATAGCTTGGTAATTGGATGGTAAGAAACAAGATTCAACTTCTCCCTTTTGTCATCTAATTTACCATCCACAATAGTTTCCTTTTCTTTTCCTTCCCTGCCTTGTCTCCCTTCTGTTTGCATGTGATGCTTGTTATTGTGGAATCTGTTTTCACGGAAGTTATGCTTACATTTGGAAAGTATTTTGGATTTGGGGAAATTGATACAAACAAACTTAAGCTCTACTGGCTGTTGCTCTTTCATTCAACTTTTCATTGTTTCAGATGGATATTCCCGCACGTACGACACACCATTTATTTACGATAGCATGCAACTGTAGTCATTTTAATGAAGAAAGAAAATTACTGTTTTCCTCAATTTCAGGTCAAACCATTGTTTTGTTAATGTTAAATTTAACTTTAAAACAAATATCATGCCTTCACATTTGACTGTGCCATCCAAAATTGACAAATGTTATAAGTTTCAATTCATTCTTCCGAATCTGATTGTCCTTGATATTATTACCCAACTGATTTACCTTTAGCATAAGCATAGGCGTTTTGACAGGTTGGCAAGGGCATCATCATCATGTGTGTGCGTGTGTGTGTGTGTGTGTGTGTGTGTGTGTGTGTGTGTGTGTGTGTGTGTGTGTGTGTGCGCGTGCGCGCGCGTCCGCACGCACCTGCACACAGTCGGGCGTGTGGCTGTTGGGGGGCGGGGGCTTTATAACCTCTGCCCCTCCAACTGAACCTCCTGCCACACCTGGTAAAACTTTTTAGAGCCACCGGTGACAGTAAGTAAGGGCTGATGTCCCTTCAATTATTCAATTTTGACAGGACATGAAAAGTTGGATGGAATCAAGGCACTCCCCCCCAAATTTTTACCCTCCAAATGTCTATCATATTTGTTTTTAAAACAGTATTCAGCATGTAATTAGCTTTATTCATTTTTTTACAGGCAGTTATTGAAACTTGCATGTCCAGATTCATGGATTAAAACAGCCACCACCTTTCTTTCAGTGAGGCTCTTTCGCAGATAGGGTGCAGTGTGCATACATAGCCATGTGATACACTAGAAATGTGTTCAGCAGTCAAATGAGTATTCTACCAAGTATAATAGCCTTTCTTTTGTGTTGTAGGGGATGAAGAGGAACAAGTAGAAGAAGCCAGTGAAGTTGCAGCTGCTGATGAGTCAGAGACTGTCGTGGAAGAAGTTGCGGAAATTGTCGTTGAGGGTGCTGAAGGTGTTGCCGAGATTGCAGAAGAGGTTGCAGCAGCTGCACAGCAAGTGGAGGTCATTGCAGATGAAGTAGCCCCAGTGGCCGAAGTTATTGAGGAGGCTGCCCACGACGTCGCGGAACAAGTTGTCGCGGAGGACCCCAAAAGCAATGGTATGACTTCCTCTCATAAGGAGGCCACAGCTACCTCTGAGGCCTGAGGTCTCTTCACATTCGTAACGGTGACGCACATTCACACATAGTCAGTCTAAATTAGGGTTAATTGCTGCTAAAAGGTTGTATTGTTCTGAAAAAATACAAATACATCCGGAGAGTATTCACAGCACTTCACTTTTCATTTTTCTCTTAGCGTATTTTCACAACCATATGGCGCGCCATATTAAAAGGCGTTATGCATTTTAGTTTCGGGTACTATTTCTGTATTTAACACATACATAAGATGCTTGGTAAAACGTACGCTAGCTTAAAAAATACAGTAGCATGCATGCACGCTAGAGTATGTTAAAGGTAGCGGGAGCAAAACTGAGTTTGGCTGTACAGTGAAACTCCTCTACAACGAAACCTACATGGGCGAAAATACCCTCCTAGTGTGAAAAAAATCTTGCATTAACACCATTCCCACTTTCCTGCCCCCCATACAATGAAAAAAAAACCCTGTTGCGTTGTACGAAATCTTTTTCTCTGCTCTTGCCTCGCGACGAGATTCACTACAACGAAGTCTAATCCAACAGCGACCTCTACTGCTTCGTTCGGAAACGGCAACAGCAACCACCACACTGATTTACACATGCGCAGTAGTCCAGGAAAGCTGTGTTCGCCATCGCTCCCATGCCGCTCGCCACTTCACTTTGGCCGTTTCTGTCCATTACCATGGCAACCTAAGTACAACAGTAAAAGCCCACTTCACATGCACTGTTGTCTGGATCGCTACCGTGCTGCTCCACTTCTCTACACTGTGGTTCACTGGAATGTCGAAAGTGAGCGGTACTTCGTCCTTGTTGGTGATGGGGTTGGGCTGGATGTGTTTGTCGGCAATATTTTGGCAAAATGTGGTTGTCCCTCATCATTTGCCGTAACCCAAGCGGGTAAGTAGCTAACAAATGCCATGTCGCAGTTGTGCTAGATCACTGCTGATTCTACTAAAGATACTAAATGGGTGACTTATGCCAGACATCAAAGTGTGTCGGCCGTAAAAAACAATCAGGAAAACTGAAATGGTGAGAAATAGATTGCCGCTATATCTCCACAACTTAGTAATAGTTCATCTTTGCATGTTTTCAGCAATTATCTTCAAACGTGTCTACACAAGTCGAGACATCTTCCCACTCCTTTTTGAGCATAGAAAAGTGGTGTTAAGTGCTCCGATTCTATTTTTGCCCGATGGTTGCTGTTTTATTTTTTCACGTTCAAACGAAACATTCAAATCAAATTCATCATTTCGAATTTATTTAGGAACGAATTTCTGAATTCACTTTACCGGGGATTATGTGGTCTAAGTCAGGGGTCCCCAATCTTTTTTGCCCCAGGGACCGGTTTATGTCAGACAATATTTTCACGGACCGGCATTTAAGGTGTGGAGGATAAATACTACAAAATAATATGGTAAGAGCTGCATGAACACTGTGGTGTTTTCGAGAGATAATAATAAACACGAGAAGTGTCTAATCTGGCCGCAACACTCTGATCGCTATGGTCATATTTAATGCCTTCAAAATACGATACAACGCAAATTCAAAGTGCATGAAAATGTCAACTCACCACAATGCTGAATCAGTGCGAGCCCCGAGCTTGATTTTCTGCAACCGGGCGGTCCCATCTCGGGGTAATAGGAGACAATGACACCTGAAGTGTGTGCTTTATGTCAAGTCTACTTCGTAATTTTGTTTTAGTCGCCGTTGCTGCACAAAACCCCCGCCTCACACAGGTAGCATGTCGGAAATAGCAACAGTGCTATTGTGGCGATCTCAGAGTATTCAGCCATAACTTGAATCCAGAACACCGGCAGACTTGTTGTCTCGAACGTACTCTTAAGGCCGCCGGAATTAATGTAAGTTCTTATTGTGCGGCCCGGTACCAAATGCCGGTCCGCGGACCGGTGGTCGGGGACCCCTGGTCTAAGTGAAGTGCTGTGTGAATACATTGTGGATGCACCGTTATATGTATCTTGTATTTATTGAAGTGGGTTTAATCTGTGAATCGTTAGTACTCGATGGAGTAAAAATTCAGATTTTGTAAAGTGATAACGTCGAATGATAATTCGCACTAATGGTTTGAAATCCTACATATTGCATGACAAAGTGGAGGGGGTAAGCTTCGCTGCAGTTATGAGTGAAATAAATGTGATCACACGAAATGTAAACATTGGCCTACTTTGACTTTGCAAGATAAATGACATACACAGATATTCAGTTAATCTGTTTACCGAATTAAATATTGTTTTGTGATTTAATTTGTAGGTATTCATGTATTCACAGGAAGCTACCAGTGTAATAGACATCTTTTTTTTTTTTTTAAATTAATCATGTTTTATTCATCAAACTTGGGTTTATTGTCATTACAATTAATGTAATTAGTGCAACTATTTTTTTTCTGAATTAAATCTTAATGTTATGTGCAATTATTCAATATGTCATCATATTTATTTTTTGCAAATAAAAGCTGCACCATGAGCACTGTGAACAGGTATCTATAAGTGATAGACCCATGAAATAAAGCTGCTACTACATTAAGGATTACTTCTGTCTTTAATTTGTCCAAATGGATGTTTTTATGATGGTATTGTGTCAGAGGTAGCTTTGGTCAAAATTTAGAATGCAAAGTTAAATGTTAGGTACATTGAAGGTTTCAGCGACCAATTAAAATAATTTGATGTTTGCTCCCCTTCGCGAACAATATCGTGTTGTATGAGCTGAATGCAGCAATGTAAAACTTAAGTATCATTGACGGCGAGATGGCTGGATTTTATTTTGCAGTGGTGCTGACAGATGAAGTCGAAGAAGAAATGGTATGTGCTGGAATTGTTGATGAAGCAGCAGTCAATGATGTACCTCTGCCCCCAGAAGTAATGGAATTCGTTGAGACCAAACCAGCAATGCTGAATGAGGAGGCAGCCCCATCACCGGTAGAGGCTGTATTGGCAGTCGAAAAAACCGTGGCACAAATAGAGGCTGTACCAGCGGTAGAGCAGGTCCAAACCCCGGGAGAGCATTCATCATTGGTCGAGAACATTCTGCCACCTCCGGAGGCTCCACAACTGTTTGAGCTTGCGCCAGCAGTGACGGAGGCTCCAATACATTTGCAAGTCGCACAAGCAGCTGAGGGGTCCATAACACCACATGACTTCACGCTGGCAGTTGAAGAGTCCTCAGCACCGGTTGAGGTTTTACCAACAGTAGCTCAGTCGTCAGTGGTGCTTGAGGAAGTGCTCACACCTGTCTCAGCTGAGGAGGCCTCTGTGTTTGCGGAGGCTGCACCGGTGGTTGAGGAGACCTCAACTCTTGTCTTAATGACACAAGCTCTTGAGGAGGATCCAACACTGGTGGAGGATATACCAGTGGCTGAAGAGGCCTTGGCATCTGTTGCGTGTTTCCGAGCAACTGAAAATGTCCCGTCCCCAACTGTCCCTGCCCAAGTGGTTGAAGAGGCCCCAAACATTGTCGAGGTTGCACTTGTGGTGGAAGAAGCTTTGCCACCCGTGGATTCTCCCCCAGTAATTGAAGAGACGACATCAGTGGTCCAGGCACCCCCCACAACATTACAGGGCTCACCGCTAGTTGAGGAGATGACGTTGCCACTTAAAGCTGAAACAGCAGTGGCAGGTGTTCCTCCAGGAGAAGAAACAAATGTTGACTTGGTTACCTCGATGGTGGAAGAAACATCATCATCTCTGGGGGAGGCTCGAGAAAAAGATCCCAAACGAGAGTACATAGTTCTGGTTTTGGAAGGAACAGTTACGGCAGAAAAGTCTGCTAAAGTGCTCGGAGTGGCACCAATGAGTGGAAGAATCATCCCAGCACCAGAAGATGAGGTACAACATTTTGTATTGCATTGATCACTCAGATTAAGATACAATGCAGTATGTTTCAATTTTTTTCGGAAAATGGCAGTTATGATTTTGTCGGGGAGCATGTCAATGTCCTTCTATTCAATACGATAAACGATCAAAAGTATTCAAGCACTTAAAGTGATTTGACTTGGCCTCCTATTTCATCTTGACTTTTAGTATTTCAGCTCCCAGGACTTTTTGTTCAATTGCACGTGTCTAGCATTGAGGTTAATGTCAAGGAGAGCGCCATCATCAGTTACATGATGATTTGGTTGCACCGCAGTGCGCAATGGAAGGTCGACAGAGTTCTGACCTTAACCCAGTTGAAAACTTCTGCCTTTAACTAATGTGAATGATTACCTTATTCAGCGTTGTTGTTTGACCTCCTAAAGGCTCGTCTGGATCACTGGGCAGAAAAATTAAAATCCTACAGATCTGACTACCGATGAGAAGCTTTTATAGCTACAGAACCAGCCACTCAGATTAACCTTTCTACTCTAGTTGCTGTAATAATGATGTGTGTGCCAGTAATTTTGTACCTGTGTGACACTTGCACATTTGGTCTGATTGAGGTTAATGGAAACAAATGTTGATTTTCACATTCTGCTACTCAGGATAAACGACATCTTCTCAGGATCCAAATGCAGTAAATTCATCAAAGGTACTGCACTTCAAAATGTTTCTACCATGAAAGAATAGGATACTTTCTATGTTGTGCCCATGATGTAATTGAATTGAAAATTGAACTAAAGTTGATGCACTTTGGATATTAATAATGAATACCTTCCTGTCCTTCATCACAGAAAACGGTTCTGGAGTGATGCTTCCTGTGTAGCAGAAGAAGAGGAATTTGCCTGTTCCAACTTTTATCTTTAACAAATACACAAATGTGATATAAAAGGGTTGACTAGCTTACCAATGTGAAGAATACGGTATATGCAAGAGTGATTATTCAAATTTTCAAATGCGCACAGGCAGAATTCTTGGTACCCTTTTAAAGAAAGAAAAATCCACAATGTCATTGAAATAGAACATTTGTCAAAATATCTACTGACAAATCCGAGACCTTCTGGGAGAATATCTTTTGGAGAAATGGGGAAACTAAACTGGAGCTTTTTGGTGAGTCAGCTCATCCACCCAAAACTCGCTGCCAAAAACACCCAAGAATAGCCACGGATGCAAATTTGGACTGTTGTTAAATCTCTGATCTGAATCCTGTTGAGCATCTGTGAAAAGTGCAGAAACAGGCAGCCTGGAGAAGGCACCCTTCAAACCAGACCATGCCGAAGGAGTTTGCTTTCGAGTAGCATGCCCAGGTTTCCTTGGCAGTTTTTTGGGGTTTTTTAAAATTCCATCTGACCATAAAAATAAAGCAATGCCTGCTTTGTTTTCGGCACAATTGTTTCAAGTTATATCAGTGACCATACCAGGGTATCCGAATTGGAACACTAGTGTGGACACACCATGTGTGCACAACACTTTGTATGTCATTTAGTCAAATCTGAAAGAAAATCCTTTGGGAGTCGTTAACATCCCCCATTCCAAACCCGACCCTCGCTCCCACTCTCACACACCTACTGTTAGCGTTTACTACCTCATGATCGCCCCATTTGAATATGTTCATAATTCATTGCATTGTCCTCATCAATACCCAGCTACATGTGATGGGAATCTACAGCAGAGGTCCCCAACTGCCGGTCCGCGGACCGGTACCGGTCCGCCGGGCATTTGGTACCGGGCCGCACAGAAAGAACTTGCCTGAATTCCGTTTTATTTATTTCGGAATACGAAAGATATTTTATTTTGAAAAACTACCGGATTCTCCGTTACATCCGTCTGTGTCACACTTGACACACGTCAGGCCATGCTTCTCCGTCATGTGACCGATTACTTAAAAACAAAATGCAGGAGCTCGCAAAGTGAGTAAAAAAAACTGCTGGAGATCGCAAATCATGGCGGCCTTAAAAGTACGTTCGAGACAACTGGATTAAAGTTATGGCTGAATACTCTGAGATCGCCACAATAGCACTGTTGCTATTTCCGACATCCTACCTGTGTGAGGCGGGGGATTTCTGCAGCAACGGCGACGAAAACAAAATTACGAAGTAGACTGGACATAAACCACACACTTGAGGTGTCATTGTCTCCTATTTCCCCGAGATGGGACCATCTGGGTGCAGAAAATCAAGCTCAGTTGCTGTGGTGAGTCGTCATTTTCATGCACTTTGAATTTGCGTTGTATCGTATTTTGAAGGCATTAAACATTGCCATAGCGATCGGAGTGTTGCGGCCAGATTAGACGCTCCTTGTGTTTATTATTATATTTCGAAAACGCCACACGTTTCATGCAGCGCATACCATATTATTTCCACCACACCTTAAATGCCAGTCCCTGAAAATATTGTCTGACATAAACCGGTCCGTGGGGCAAAAAAGGTTGGGGGCCCCTGCCCTACAACACCGTTGAGGTGTTTTATAGTCTCAAATGTTTTCCTCTTCTTTTTTAATACCACTATAGTGTTGTATTCCACATCTGGTAGATGTCGACAATGGGGACATTGTTATTTGATGAAAACTGTATATCTTAACATTTTTATAACTGCTCTTTTCTGTCAGTTCTACTTTCTTAGCAAATTAAGATTGATAAGGAAAGGTAATTTGAGCTTTTACTCACGCTGATGATCATTAATGCCACAAAGGAGAACTGTATAAGCATCATGCTCCTTGAAAATGTGATGATTTTTGTCAAAGCCATTTTGGTCATGTGCCACGTGGTAGTTCAGGGTTTCTGTCAGAGGATCGTTATGACCATGAAAACCAAAGAAATTGTATGGATGTGTTTAACTAGTTGACCTGAAGATCATTATCCATCCATCCATTTTCCAATCCGCTTTATCCTCACAAGGGTCGCGGCCTCACAGCCTGCCGTGCATGTTTTTGGAATGTGGGAGGAAACCGGAGTACTCGGAGAAAACCCATGCAGGCACGGGGAGAACATGCAAACTCCACACAGGGAGGCCGGAGCTGGAATTGAATCCGGTACCTCTGCACTGTGAGGTCGATGCACTAACCACTTGCTCACCGGGCCGCCCTTGAAGATCATCAGTGATGTAAAATAGTGGCAAACTAATATTTTACTATAAATACTATTTTTGAAAGGGATTTGGTTTTAATAAATGCTTGTAAAACTGGTTAAAGTGGTGGTGATGGGGAATGCAATATTTGTACAGCAAAAAGAAAAAAAAAAACGTTGACCAAGGAACATAGAGTTTACTGGCTTTAGTGTGCCCCATTAAATGATGTGGTGGGCTGTGACTTGCCCCCTGGCCTTGAGTTCGACACTTGACACGTGATGTATGATATCAAGGCTTGATGCTAAAACAGATATTTCTGTGGTGATTGCCTGAGGTGTAAAGCATTCACTCAGAAGCTACAGCTCTATTACAGTAGTCTTCAGGTTTCAAAAATTTCTACTTATCTAAGCAGTTGTCTTGTGTTATTTTCCTGTATTTGTGAAAGTTCAGAGATTAGCATTTTGACCCGCAGTGTTTGTGTACATATTGATAATATACACTAAATGTTTCTGTCTATGGTGTTACAGGCAAGACAATGTGATCTGTGATTCTCCCCTTTCTTGCAGAATAAATTGGGTTTGGGGGTAACAAGATTCTGTTGTTTGAACTTTTATTTTGAGATTAAAAAAATGTTTTTTGTGTTTTTTATGTTCTTCATTTAATAGGATTTTTTTTTTTTTTTGTCCAAGCAAAACTGAACACCTGACCCAAGATTAGTATTTTTTAACACAGACCCAAGTTAGAATGAGTACATTTGTATTAATACTTTTCTTATTAATTTCATAACATGTATTAGATAATGAGTTACCTGAAGGATTACTTGGCGCTCAAGAGCATATTGTCAGCGGTGCAGGCTTGGACTACAGATGTTGAATATATGCGTGCACACACACACACACACACACACGCACACACACACACACACACACACACACACACACTATACATGTTTCTTTATATCGTGCTTTCACAACAGCTAGAGCTGCAACAAAGCGCTTTACAGAACTTTTTACATTTGTTTGTTTGTTTGTTTGTTTATTGAACATATATAAAACATACAATAACATGACAAAATGCAAACAAAAATTATGAAAGGAAAATAAAAGTAAAAGTAAGTAATACAAACATCATCACAGTTATATGTTCAAAGGAGTAGGAAGAAGTATACAACTAAGTTGTTCAAAATCCAGAACAAGAACAAACCATAGTATTACTATATTTTATAAGTACCAGTATATAAAATTTATCTTCTTAACTTTGTTTTATGTAGTTTTTTTGTACTAATCTTTTGAATTTGTTTTTGAACTCGTCCAACGATTTACTCATTTTCAGATCCATCTCAAGCTTATTCCACAGATTAACTCCTATTACTGATACACATCTTTGCTTGATGTTTGTTCTTGTTCTGGATTTTTTGTATTGATTAATACCTCTTAGATTATAACAACTATCTCTGATTTCAAAAAGCTTCTGGATATTTTGACAAAGGAGATTGTTATGTGCTTTATACATTAATTGGGCAATTTTGAAGTCAACCAGGTCATAGAATTTCATTGTATTTGATTTGATGAATAGTGGATTTGTGGGTTCTATATATTTAGACCAATTGATTATTCTGATTGCTTTTTTCTGTAGTTTTAAGACAGGGAATGTGTTTGATTTACAGGCGTTACCCCATATTTCCACACAGTAGGTCATATATGGGAGTAATAATGAGTAATATAATGTGTACAAGGAACTCATATTCAACACATCCTTAGTTTTGTGGAGTATCCCGATAGTTTTGGATATTTTCCTTTTAACGTTATCAATATGTGGCTTCCAGGATAGTTTGGTGTCGATTACTAGTCCAAGAAACTTATTTTCATAAACTCTTTCTATTTCAATTGAATTTATCTTTATTTTAACTTGGTCTTGAATTGGTCTCGTACCAAAAATAACTAACTTAGTTTTTGTTAAATTTAAAGATAGTTTATTTCTGTCGAACCAGTTTTTTAATTTGGTTAATTCATAATAATACAAGAGAATATATATAATGTTATACTTGTAATATCTTCCCTCATATATTTACCATAGCACTGATAACATAACACAATCCTGTATGATGGTGACTATGTATTTATTGGGAAAGGTTGACCCTTTGATTGTTTATGATCGACAAGGTGTGCATCCTCATCAGACTTTAATGGTAGTACCGGTACTGTACTAGGATTGATCAGACAGATCCATACAATACATTAAAAAACTAATGTGGAAAGTGCATACAAATTCGTTCTTTTGCCAGGTTAACTCTGGCAAGACTCAAAATTATTTCAGGACATATTCCCAAATAATAGATACAAATTTGAATAATTCATCATAACCCCATAATAATTCTCTCCTCAGATTTAAATGTATGTGCGCCATGGTTCACTCTCATTTATTAAAAGAACAATTTCAGATACATTTTCTGTGCTCGTTTCCAGGAAATTTGTGCCAAGCTCTTAATATTCTGATTGCGATAATGGGGCTTGTACTCGTGACGTCACGGCGGTCGACTCGTTGACCCGCAGTATCCGTTTAGCTGCGAGACTCAGTGCGCGCCGGAAAGCTACATGGTAGCAAAGTACTGACACAAACCAAAACATAAGTAAGGCATGCATGCAACCTTGTAATCCGGAGTCAAACGCGGGTTCGAGTACCGTCTTCAAAATGTTTCGAGGGGCAGAGGAATTATAAAACATTGTTTAGTCAAGAGAAATTTTCTTCTTTTTTTTGCGCTCTCAACTTACGGCTAAATCAGGCCCTGGTAGCGTTAGCTGTGGAGCGTCCTTTCTGATTGCACAGCAAATCAAGGTAAGAGGAAATTAATGGCACATGGATGGGTTGCGAATGCATGTCTCGGTTTCTTACAACATTATTTTGCTGCTCTTTCTCCCCAAGGACTTCAGTATTATAGAACGCTCAGTAGCACGTAAGGGAGCTAATTGCTAACGCTAACAGCGCTACGTTGTGTGCTATCACAAGAAATGTAGACTAACAAGTCAATATATATCTCGTGTAAAATTCTTACAACGATTTAAGGCCATAGTCTTAGCACTCGTAGCTTATTTGACCAACCGTTGTTACATCCTTGCTAAGTAGTTGGTGATGTTGGCTCAGTGTCAGGTAGCAGCAGAACCGTGCCGTACGGAAAATAAACATTAAGTTGCCATAGACTTCATCCTTCATCATTTTAGTGCTAGTGAACACGGTGAAGTGATGTTATTTAATACAACTCTTAACCGATGCCAGTG